TCTAGACTCCCGGGTTCTCTGCTGCCAGCATCCATGTAGCAGAGCACAGGTTCCAGTAAACGGTACAGTTGTTCTGCTAGGATGCTTTATGATAAGGATAGGCCCAAAGCTCTGCATGTGAGCACCCCAAATAACTTCAACTCTTTAATAACATGAGTAAAACCCCAGAGCTGAAGAAAAACCCAACTCTAAACATAAGTCACATTTCTGAAATGGCCTAGCATGGAAAAGCATATCAATTTGTTTGAAAAAAATTACTTAGATCATCTCAGGGACTGCATTCACTGCATGGCCCCATGGTTAGCCCTCATCTCATGATGATGGATGTGAAATGGATGTAGCGTGAAAATAGCAGCAGGGAAGAGAGACGGCTGGGCACTTACTTCTGGTTCTCTATCATATATTCCAACGTTATGGTCCTGTTCCCAAATGCCTCATTTAATCCTAGTGTTTATGGGGAGGGAGGAGAGGGAGACAGGACGGTGGTATACATATGAGTCAATAAATAGAAGTACTGACGCCCAAAATTGAAAGCTAGAGGCATTTTATGTCCAAAGACAAATCCGTAGCCCTTGCTGTAGTTGAACAGAGTACTGGATGTGTAGGCAACTTGCCCAAAGGCTGTCTACGGTGGATCAGGCCACTCTGAGTGAGACTTCTCTGTAAACCTTACCAATTAAGTAACTGAAATTAATAATTTTATTTCTCGGTGGCAGTGATTACGGAACACTTTACCCCCCACCTGGTTGGACAGAGCTTTGAGCAATCTGGCTATGATAGGGGGATTAGAACTAGACGATCCTTCAGGTCTCCTCCAACCCAAACCGTTCTATGATATGAAGAGCGAAGAGCCAGAGCTCTGCTTTCCGCGCCGTTAGCACGGGGACAGCACGGGTGACAGCGTCAGTTCCCGGGGTGAAACCCATGCCGTTCCGGGACGTCCTTGCCCGTACCGGAGGCGGGGGCAGAGACACCTCACACACATTGTTCCCCACCAACCCTCTCCATGGTCCGCTTCCCAGGTCTGCGGCTGCCCCCTGGTGGCTTAGCGCGGCACCGCCTAGCCGGCCCAGCAGCACATCACACACACACATACACACACACACGCTTATTTTTTGAATAAGAGGGAGTGAAATGGAAAGAAGGAACAGAACCTAATCCAGAAGGATCAAAGAAATGAGTTCCGTGTGACCTAAGAATAGATGTACATACGTGAGCGTGACTGCGGTCAGGCCAGCACTTGGCTCTGTAACAGGGAAAGGGAAAGCTCACGCCAAGGATGCACAGGGGGTCTCCTAATCCTTTGTGATGACCTCAGTGATGATCAAAGCCGGGGTCTTAAGTCAGCACTAGAGAAATAAGGGATTAGGAGTCAAAGCCAGGAATGCCCAGGAGTTAGTAGTCATCCTCAGTATTACTTACAGAGCAACCTCCAAATTTCACAAGTTTTATCACACAAAAAATTGCCTCAGAAACTTCAGCCCACTTCTCAATCAAATGAAAAAGTGAGGATTTTTTTTTTCATAGATTACTTGTATGAAAGTTACTTATATTTTTTAAGGACTATCTGAGGACTTTCTGATATTTTGCTTGTTCTGCTTCCAGCTCGAGTCCTCAGTACAAGAAAGGCATAGACCTGTTGGAGAGGGTTCAGAGAAGGGCCACAGAAATGCTCAGCAGCCTGGAGCCCCTCTTCTGTGAGGAAAAGCTGATGGAGTTGGGCTTGTTCAGCCTGCAGAAGAGAAGGCTCTGGGGAGATCTTTTGCAAACAGGAGTCTTCATCTTTATTTGGTCTCCTTTAGAGCTGACATAAATGCAAACAACAGAATTAATGCTGGCTGTGGTAAGGGCTGGGTCCTTTAGCTGAAGATCTGAACAAAGCTATGAAAACTTCCACAGGACAAAAGAAATTAAAAAGATAGGAATGAAGACAAGAACCTTGTTCAAAGAGATTGCATGACTCACTTAAGATCAGAAAGTGAATGTCAAAAGACAGGAAAGCAAACCTTACAAAGAAATGACTGAGGGGCTGCGTGAAAAACAGCAAAGGAAGACTGTGATATTTCACTACAGTCAGGGGACTGGGTTTATGAGAGGCCGTGTGCTCGTGCAAGTCCATGTTATCATCAGCATTAAAGTACTCGCTGCATAAAAAGCAAAGCTTGTACTCTCAAGCTTGAATCAGTTTCTTCCATAGCCACTAGCTGACGCTGCAAGTAAAGCTCTCCTCCTAGCAAGCAGGCAAAACGAATTGCAGCCTGGCAGAGATGAAGATAATTTAATTTTCTGTTTTTTTTCTCCCAGCTATTTTTTCTTCTCCTTTGAAGAGTTTATGATCTAGCGATGAGCACTGCTCCCGAATCCTGGGCTTTTCTATATTGTTACCCATCCTAAGGGAATGCTGTTCTCACCTTCTGTAGCACGGTGGTTAAATAGGGCTTGTATGGATTTTCTACTTGAGCATATTTTCCCAGAGACTCCACCACTTAATATTATGCTTGAAGAGTCAAAAAGTATTTTCCAAAATTCTTAAACAAACCTACTTTCATCCATGAAAACAGAGATCAATAATTTCCATCTCTGAACTACTGAGAAAAACAGTCAAATCTGCTATGATTTTTAGGATGATGTCTTTTTTTTCACTGTTAAGTAATACCTCCTTTGTTACAAGAACTTAATGATTTGATGCATTTGCCTCACCTTTCCAACTGTAGGATAGATCTTTTAAATTCCACCTTTCTTTCTAATGCAGACCTGCAAAAAAATCAACTTTCCACATAAACTATGTCAGATAGGTTTAACTGTCCCTTGATTGTATTATTTGTCTTGTGTGTTTCCTCACTCTGTTAGGTCTGCTGGGGTGTTAACAGAAGAGTTGTGTCTATTGACATCAGAAAGAAAAGCTATCTCTGTGGAAAAAAATTCCCTGGATTTTTAAAGAGTTATACAAACCTGCCAATTCTTTCCCTGGGAGATCTCATCTTCCTGTTACTGAGAGGTGAGAAATACAGAAGCATTTGCCACCTGGAACACATATGCAATATTGAAATAATGAGCACATAATCGTATTTGCATTTGGACACCAACTCCTTCGTTTGCAGCTCTGCCTGTCAGCAAGAGGAACCTCAGCCTATAAAGATTAACTTTTTCATGCTGTGAATGATTGCACAATTGTACGTCAGGCAATTCACAGTGCAGAATAGCAAGGGTAAGTGCAAATATTTTTTCACCACAGCCTAGATATCATACAACATTACACTTCTACTGCTGAATATTTTTTCCTACATCTATCAGTTTCTAAAATGTTAATACAATTTCAATTATTTGGAAAATGTAAAATCTCTGATATGGACAAAAATATATTAAAATCCTTCTTTTCAGTTCCTTACAGTATCTCAATTATAAATGCATATTAGCTCATGCCCATCTTTTCTAATCTTCTCTACATTAACTTTCAGGTTCCACAGCTCCAACAGAAATGACAGTTTGTGCACTGAAGCAGTTAATAATTTTTTCTCTATATCATTATTGTGATATGTGACTCCAGAAATCCAACTACAATATTGCCATAAGAGTGGCATTAACCCTATGATATTGATATAACCATGGTGCATGTATTATTTCTACAAATATGAATCTAGAATTTCGGGTTAATCAAACCAAGTGATGTGCAAGGAGGTCGGAACTAGATGATCTTAAGGTCCTTTCCAACCCAAACCATTCTATGATACGATTCTATGTGTATACAAGTGTTCTCAAAATCACCTCAGTTATGGTCCCACAATACTAGATTGCTTTATCTGAAGTCAAAATACAGTTAAACCAAGGCTATTACAAATGATATGATTTAGTGTTGGTGAGATTTGGAGAAACAACAGTGGAGCATAGATGGCTGAGCGGCAGTAACTTAAGCAGAAAGGGAGGGACAGAGGGAAGGGAGAAGGAAGTAAAGGAGACAACTGGGGAATGCAAAAACCTAAACAAGCCCTTTGGGGAAATAAGAAAGGTTTTCAGATTTTGAAGTAAACTGGCATTTAGGAAATCCTGCATTCACTTCTTAAGTTCACAAGACTGTGAAATTTGTTTAATGCTTTCTCAGACATTTGCTCTAGCTTTCAGTTAATTCTGGTTTCAAACTAACAGTATAAGGGAAACAGGAGCACAGCTGCCAGGGTGACTATCCCAAGGTGGCTAGGAAGAGCCATGTACAATTCCGGCAGCTTGTTTCACATAAACACCATAGCCACTTCATTCCTCATGTTTCACATGTACAAGCTGTGGCAATGGCAAAGGTGTATTTCCTTAGCTCCAGGTTGGTTCCTTTTTAACAGGAAAATGAGAAAAATCACCAATCTTAGATTTGTTTATTTTTCTCCATACCTAGCTCATTTAAAAAATGTTTGCTTTCAGGTTGCCAGTACTTTTCTTCATACATGTTTGATGTTCATAACACACACTATTAAAGGACAACAAACACTGTAGGGTAATACTAGAAGTATTTAATGAAGAAGTTAAATTGCATCCCGAGTTAGAAAAAGACACAATCTGAAAAAAATGATTCCGTTCAAAGTTTGATCAATAGAGGAAAAGATGATGAAATTGTTATTAAAACCTGAACTATTCTTTTTGGTCTTTGATACCGAAAGCATTCCAGTTAAAACAAGGATATTTTCAAAACACCATAGAACCTGTCACATCTCCGTTCTTCACAAAGCTCAAGTGAAATAGAAGTGAAAGTGTCAATTACTTTTAGTAGAGTATTTGATCTCTGTGGGATCCTTTGACTTGATTCTCAGTAAAGGATCTCATTATTTACGTAAAAAAAATGCACCTGTTTAACTTTTTATGTAGGAACAGCAATTATCTGCTCAACAACAAATTTTCTTCTCAAGAAGATACAACCTCATTCTTCTCCATCATTAGATTCTACCCTTGATTTCTGCTGTCTGCATTATTTTTCATACTAATCTGAATAGTTACAGTTATTTAAGAGCCCAAACCCAACTGTAAGAATCTACTAGCTGCTTACTGCATTGCTAATGTGTTTCTGGGATGTGGCAGGTTCTTAAATATTTAATATAACTTACTTTTCCCTTTAACCATTCCATTCTATGCAAAGGACCTGATGAAATATGAATTATGCCTGTGTAATGTTTTGCATACTGTAGTGGCTGCCTCATTTCAGTCATATTACATACACAGCTTCTATGCAAAAAATAGGAGAAAATGCTTAGTTAGGTGTTATTCTTTCTATTCCTAATTGAGGTTCTCAGGTTTCCACAATCACTACAAATTCCCTGCTAAGCAGAAAGATCAAGAACTGGAATGGGTTTTAGAAAGCAAACTCATCATGACAGTCTCTGGCAGTGAACCAGAACATGACCAATTTAAACCCATGAAAATTCAACACCAGCCTTTAGTTCATCCTTTACAACCATTTTAAAGACAAAAATCTTGCAAAGGACTCCTTTTCCAAAGCAATTTCTGATGCACCATCATATACAATATAACCAACTGCTCACAGGTGCACCAGTTTCATTTGCTTATGTGAGTGGCAGTCCTAGTTTCAGGTGGGTGCACAGGAAGAATTAATTATAGAAGTCACATCTGGAAAAAGCACTCAAGGCACCTCAGCAACACTTTTTGGTGGCTGTGTTCAGAAGCAGGAGCAGGGTTGTGAAGGGTGCTGCTATCATTCTGAGGGACCTTCAGCTGCAGTATGACAGCTGTAGACCAGCTGAACCTCAGACCAAATACACATGTTGAACAGTTATATGTGTTGGCTGTATCTGTCTGAATAAGTCCATTCATCGCGTGTATTAAATGGCTCATCTCCTTCCTCCTTGGTCTTCTCAGTGATGCACTGTGTCTGACCACCACAGCAGGACTACCTACACAATGGTGGATTATGTCTGACTCTTAACACCTTCAAACAGCAGCCAAGATACACATGTTTTTGAGAGGACTGAAATACTTTTGATTCCTTCAGATACTAACGTTGGAGGGCTTTTTGTGAATTGGGAATATCAAACCATGTATTTTTCATTTATGGCAATGAATGTGGGAGCAATTCTTCCGAATGACAGAGATGTATCTTGCAGGGTATGTGTGATACATAAGGTTTTTAATGTGAGAATCTACATATATAGCAAGGCCTATCCCTGCCTAGATAATACATTACATCTTACAAGTATGATATTTTTTGTAGTGTTTCTGTTAATACAACAACACAAACTTTCCTTTAAAATCAAAATTTTCTAATTATTTCCATGGTTATAGAGAAGAACTTGCTGATAGAAATTTAGAAAGCTCAGAACTATGACCTTAAATCGAAACATTTTGTACTCTGTTCTATTTATGAGGAGGCCTTTTACACTTTCAATCGTTTGACTTGGCAATATGAAATAATTTCTACTAGTTATTTTCCTTTCCTATTTGGGTGTGAACAGTTGAATTTGAGGTGCTATCACAGTTTGTATTTATGAACCGATACCTTCTTGCTGGGGAGTATCTTCATAGCTTGGAAGACATATTGTTTTCTTGGATTTATGCCAGAGAGAGATTTATATTTGGAATAAGTAGTAACACTTCTATCAGAATATTAGTATATTTGCCCCCTCACTAGAAGAGCCCACACAATCCCATTCCTTTTCACCAAAGGTCTGTTTTCTGTTTACAGCAAAATTGTTAAATAACAGAGGGGAAAAAAAAAAAAAAAGAAATCCTCAAGAAAAAACCAACACATAATGTATTTTCTCTGGCAAAAGAATTCTTCATGTGTTGAAGTTTTCACAGCCTTCCTTCTTTCTCTTTCTAAATGTCCATGAAACATGCCATAAACCATTAAATCTTTCCTCACCATTTTCATGCCACCCAATTTTTAAATCCTCCCAATATCTTTTAATCTTATAGATTGGAAGTGCTGTTTAATGTCTCCAGACTGGATAACATGCAAACTTCACAATACCTTGGTGAAGACAAACAGCTTTTTTACCCTTGACAATGTTTATTTGACCTATAAACAGAAGTGGGATCAGTGAACTCACCAGTTGACTCCTTGGACCAGACTTCATAAGGTTCCTTTCAGAAATATGAAAACAATAGGAAACTTGCAGTAATAAATATTCCCAAGGCTATCATAAAGCAAACAGCTTGCTGTAGTTAAACAAGGAGAAAAATGGTTAACTGTGTCATTACATGAATGATGGCTTATAGTGAAACAATTTATTATTTTCTTTAAATACAAACTGCTAACCTCTCACTGTCTATAAAATGTCTCATGAGACATCTTGTCTTACTTATGTGAATATTTTATGGTCGAAAACATGAAAAATAAATTTATCAGCTTCTATCACGTTCCAGCTACAGGACTGTAGACAGCGATGTTTCATTAACAGACAGCAAAGTAAAAGACTTGAAGAGAGGTGCAAATTTATCTGATCTGCATCTGAGATATGAGTAAAAATGAAGAATAAAAGGAAATGTAGAAGTCCACTACAAAATTGGTTGTGACTCCTATTTTATACTGCTCTGGATCATTACTGACATTTGTATTTAATGTTTACCCTAAGTTTCATGTTAGCATTAAATACCTCAGCTTACCTCTGGAAAAGTAAGAATGAGGAGCTTGATTTTTTTCAGTAGGAAAATGTAATCACCAATGAGAGGGCAGCAGCAATACCTCCATGCATTTTTTTTTAAGAGTAAAGCACAAGGAAGTTAATGAGAAAAGGCTGGTTTACACTACGACTTCCACAGAAAACATGTCCTTTTTTTAATCAATCATAAGGAGAAATACTTCACAGGGCCTTGAAAACCAGATTTCCTTGATCTTGCAACACCCTAGATCTAGGTATACAGGTTAGCTTCTATTTCCCAAAACCTGCTACATGCTACACTTTGCATCCACATTAAATAACCTATTAGCATCCTGATATGCTTGCTTATGGCCTGAATAAACTTCTTGCAGGTAGCACACTTCCAGTGCCTTCCTCTTCACTGCATCTTCACTGTGAAGGCATCTAGGCTCCTTTTGATTCCCAATGTGTGTTGTGGGTGAGGGCTTTCAGTCATGCAGGAACAAGTAGCAGAAGAGCAGAAAGCCCCATAGCAGTTGCACCTGTCTCCTATTAGCAAGGAAAAGAGTGCTTCAAGACAAGTGTAAGCATTTTGTTTTCTAATATGATAGTATCTCCCAGTTAGCCCCATCTAACTGCAGGGAGAAGATACGTACTTTTGACCTGATCAAGTTATATTCTGGACAGATTTCAGAAGTGTTGCATTCAAAAATCTCTTCCAAGAGCTGTCCTAAACATTATTTATTATAATACAAATAATCTAATATGAATTTCATTACATAGATGGAATATCGTGTGTCTCTCATTAAGCATCAACTCATGAGACACAAAAGCCCAAATCAATCAAGGAATATAAAAAATAAAAAAAAAGAAGGAACAACAACAAAAAGATGAAGACTTCAGTAGGCATTCAAATAATTTCACAGTACCTGCCTTTCTTATTGGATCTTAGCAAATACAAATTTCTTTTCTCTCATAGCTGATATTTCAACTGAGTAAAATGGTACTTCTGCCTGTATTGCCTTATGCCGTTTTCTCAGTTGCTTCTGGGTTGTTTTCTGTGAGGAAAATAGAGAAAATATAACAAGCAGTGCAGTGCTTGGGTGCCATTTGGAGTGTGCAGTATTTCATTCCTGATATTAAAACAAGTTCAAAGGCCAGAATAAAGCTGAGAGTATTTCCTTTTTCTGATCAAAATAGTTTCTATTTTTATGGAAGCAAATACCTTCTCTGTTTTCATTTTTAGCAATTCTATCTATGTTGTTTTCTCCATGTATTTCTTTTTCAAATTTCTTTTTTTTTTTTCTCAGAAATGCTGTTGTGATTACTTTCCATATTCTAGGTATTAATACTGAAAATAATTTGTGCCTCCTCATCCTAAATTTATGCCAAGCTAAATTAAATAGGAACATACACAGAGGAAAAAAAAGCAAACTAAGTTTTTATCAGTGCACAGACTGTATTTGGCAGACTATATTTATGGGGCTCTGAAATCAGAAAGAAGAAAATATTCAAAAGATCTCAATTGGAAAAGTTCTGTTTATGTCTCTTGCTGCCCTGTGGGATTTATTTTTTGCAGAGAGTTTTCTTCTTGCCTTCATTTTAAATTAAGGCACATCTAACATGCATTGATGTAAAAGGGAGATGGCTATTCCTTGGTTCTTCTGAGGTGGCTGGAGATCCGTTCTATGTGCCTAATGGTAGAGACATGTCATTTTCTGTTGTCCTTAGTTCCATTTAATTTAAAATTAACCTGTCTTGTAAATTGGTTTGGGATAAAATCTTCATCTGGCTAAAGTCATTGGAAGTTTTTGTGTTGGCCACAATGGCATCCTGAGATGTCAGGACACAGCAGATCACATGCTGAAAGTTTCTTATTCATTACAATTAAAGAAATTATGCTGCAGCACATATGAAGGCTCTCAGTACTTTCTTGGACTGCCTGCCACCTTCCTGTGCCATTTGTATCCTTCTAACTTACTCCTTCCTCCTACATTCTGCTCCTTTTCAGGGATATTTTGAAGCATGCTGTCAGCATACTACCACATTTGCAGTGGCAACTGCATATCAATGATTTTTAGGACAGATTTCATTCTAACTCAATATAAAAATAACATGCAACTAAACATTGTGAGCCTGTGAAATGTATCTGGGCTTCACAGCATGGCTGCTTCACCATCTACTTGGAGCTATGCTTCCTCTAACCTGTAAACAGGCAGCATCTTGTATATTGTAGCATCAGAAAGAGCACAAGAAATACATTCACATTTTTTTCAGGGCTACAAATTCCCAACAGTAGTCAGTAAGGTGAGTGTTTCATCCACACTGTGCTCTTAGTCATACACACTATATATTATCCTAAGATGAGATGTGTTCCAGAAGAGTGTAAGTAGATGAAGCTTTTGTGATACTTCTGCACTTCTGCAGGAAGTCAGGAAGCTTTTCAAATCCAAACTTTATTTTCCCAAGGTTAGCAATGTGCATGTGTTTATGTACGTGTATTTCCCTCATATATGTTATCTTCAAACATGACAGGAGCAAAACATTACCGTGCCTCATTCCCTGCTTTGTGTCTGACTAAAGAAAGAATGTCCCCATGCTGTGGGAAATGAAGCATGGCTATTTATTGTCATTTTCACGGAGCTTGGAGGTCTAAGTTGCACATTTTCTCCAGAAGATGGAAAGGAGACCAATAGATTGTATCTGTCTAAGGAACTTCCACTTCTGTGTGCTCATAGTTGGAAAGTTTAGCTGCAGATCCTTAGGAGAACTGGCCCAGACTATTCCCAGCCTGATTAGTAGATCATATCTACTCCTCTTTGACTCATTAATAATGATCAAATGAAGGTAAGCCTGACTTTTGCAGTGAGGAGAAGTCAAACCATGTGATGAAAGCAATCACAGGAGGGTTGGAGTAAGGATGTGGAAGACTTAATTAGACCTGGGTTTCCTGGTGGAAGATCTGCAAGTATATGTCATCTCATGTCTTGAGCTGTGGTCTAGAATATGCACAAGCAGGCTGGGATGGACAGGTGATGTCCTGGGACAGTATCTGTTCTTGCGGGATGTATTTGCAGTGATGCAGCTTCCACCAGAGTCTCTCCTGAATGACATATTCATTCTGGTGCCAGGGTTTAGTCTTCCAGAGTGAAACTAGAACTGAGATTTCGTAGTCATTACTAATAGCAAGAATGTTAACATTAGCTACCTAAACACAGAATAATAGCAAGGAAGAATGTAATCTTCCTATATGTCTTCCCTTTAAAATTTCAATAGGACATGGTATTCTGCCTTTTCATTAGATGTGAGGAAAGCATGCCATACCCCACTCAAGAAATGGCTGTATTTAGCTCTACTGTATGTGTAAAGATTTTTATCAGTTCCTTATGAATTTCATTAAGATGCTGAGGCATCTTATTGTTTACTGTTTGTGAAAGCCTGTTGAAATCCTGGAAAGGCAATACAGAGCAGTGTTAATTTGCCACATTTGAAATGATTTTGCTAAACTTAGAGAAAACTGCATCAGTTTTGTTTTATCTTTTGTCAGTTGCCTGTTTTCTTTAGTATTTATTCTTTCTACATTTCAGAAGAGTACTGTGATTGAATTTTATGTATAAACTCACGATTTCTTTGGAAATGACAATTATTTTTTTTTATTTTTTAGAGCAGGAGAAAGTATCTAGAATCTTTTTGGTTTTAATTTTTAGTTTGTTTTCTAGCAGCTCTTATAAGAAGAGCTACATTAACAAATCATTTGGCTACTCTGCTTGTGCTATGTCACATCACTTGTACAACTCTGACAAATCTCCGACCACTAACATACATACAGTTCCTCTAGTATAATTTCTTCTTATCTGTACTCCTAGATAATTTTGTTCATATGAAGCACATTATTTAAATTGTAAACAGTGATATACCTGAAGCAACAAATGGCTTTGCACTTATTAAAACTGGGAAAAAATTCTAGCAGAAAGGGTGGGTTCATGGATTCCAGTGAAGGCTACTAATTGTTTTCTCAGACTGCTGGTGCCACCTTCTTCCTATTCTTTCCTTGCCCCCTATAAAATCATTGTGGATAGAAGTGGCAAAAGCTGCTGGAGACCCTGGGGAGATGCTGAGGAGGTGGCCTCTTCTGAATGCTGCATTGCTGTGAGCAGACTTCCCCCAGAGACAGAGGCTGGTCAATGTGAAGGTGTCTCCATTATCTACAAGGTACTGCACACACTGTTCAGTCATGTCCTTAGCACTGGAGCAAAGAGAAAAGTGTTCACACTGGAGAGAAGCCATGAAGACCGAGAAGTGGCAAGAGGCAGCAGCTCTAAGGAGAAAGTGGAAACATTCAGCTGAAGTTTGCAAAAGAAAAGCTGTCTGTGCTGCAAATCATTACTACCCCATCTGAGAGTGACGAATGTGTTCACTTTTTGAAACACCAAGAAATACCTACATCTACAGCAGAGACAGGTATTTCAAAGAGAAAACTAGCCTCTCAACCACAAAAAAAAAAACAAAAAAACATCATGAGCATTCACCAAAGGTGAAAAGTATTTCCACACTAGAGAAGGATGAAAAAATAATGGATTTTCTCACGAGCAATGGAGCCTAGCCAGTGTCACTGTTAAAACATGAAGCATTACATCTTCTGACTTCCTCTTTTGTCTTGTGGAAAGTGCTCCAGCGGCAGTCACAAGTTGGGAGGCAAAAAAAATGCACAGAGCTTGCAATATAGGCAAGGCTTAATTGGGCTTTGGGGAAAAAAAAAAAAATTCTGTGTGATTTTTTTTCAAGAAAATCAAAACTTACGAATGACAAACCTCTTAGAAGTTTATAGACTAAATCTTCTTCCATTTTTTGTGGATATTCAAAACCAGAGCTTTTTACAGTAAGTTTTTGTACCATCATAACTCAGAATCACAACATGCGACTCTCAGATTCTTCATCAGCGGATAACAAAGTATTTTATGCTTGAAACCAGTGTAACTCCTTCAGTTAGAAATAGTCAACTCTCCAGGCTCCAACACCATAGTAACAGAGCTGGGAAGATTATGGATGTGCCTAGTTCCCTGGCCCAGGGCTCTACACAGTGTTAGGAGTCGGAAAGAATTTGCTCTGGTTTCTTCTCTGGGCGCTGCTTCCTTGTATGATGGAAGGCTGAAATAGGAACTGCATCTGTATGTTTGATCTGTAGTGACAGTTGTGGGTAGCTGTGACACTTATAGATAGTTGCTTATGCCTCAGTCACGGCAGGCATTCACAGCTCTGTAGTTCTTCAGTATTTGATCTTTGCATCTTCATTCCTCTTTTTCTCTTCATTGTTTTCTAATGGTTAGATTAAACTGAATGTATATAATGGATAGCAATAAGCGATAAGGTTAAACTGAATATACATTTCATGGATTATAAAATTTCCATTTCTGCCTGTATACGTAACTGAAAAGCAAGATTTTGGAGATATTTGCTTATCCATTAGCATACTGTGTGCAGCCCAGATCTCTTTGCTACTCTTCCCTGATAAGCAAGCCACCAATGCCACTTTAGTCATAATGCTCTTACAGGCAACAAGGTATATTTGTTCTTTTTCACCAAACAATCTGCAATATTGGTCATCTTCCTAGAGATCAGCCTAAAGCTTTCTAAAATACGGTCATTAAAACTACTAGTTTAGTTTTGTTCTAGCCTTATGACTGACAATGCCTTAGGGGTGAGAGTACTTGACATCTCCTACATCCTAGAAAATACTACCCAAAAGCTGTCCATCTGTCTGTCTTGAAATCTTTATTGATTGACAATTACATCATGTAGGATATGTAGTTGCTTTGTCCACAATGAGTGAGCACTGTAGTAATCATGTCACTCCAATTCCTGTTTCCCAGACATCTAAGAAAAAAAAGTAGAGTAATGAAATCATTTGGTCAGTTTTCAATGGAAAAGAACATGTCTGCTTTGTGCAGAGGTCTGCTGGAGACATTATTGAGTTGGCCTGCATTTCCCCCACTTGGCTTTTTCTCCAGGATCTTGAATCATGACTTGCTTCTCAGGATAAACTCTTCAACTCTAGGAGCAC